TTGACCCTTATGACTGGTTTTGTGCTCCAGGGTCACATATGAAACGTTAATAATAGTGCACTGATGAATACTGCAAAATATGAGCAGGAATGTGCATTAAAGTATACCGTGTAGGATTTCCATAATTCCTTCCTAACAGACAGAAATGTTCTATTAATACTATTTTATATATACTATTAGTTTTTATTAATATTCTGAATTAGCTTTTATTTTTTATATTTTCATTTTTTGTTTTATTTTACATTTTAGTAGTTTTGTTATGTGCTTTTGACATTTTTATCAGTACTTTTTTTATTATATTGATTACGCTTAATTTATTTTAACTTCAGTTGTAGTTTCTATTTATTTTCAGTTAGTAATTTGAGTGTTTCAACTTAAACTCATTTCAGTGCTATTTTAGTATTAATGAGATACTATTATAGTTATTAATATTTACATTTAATCATTTCGCAGACGCTTTTATCCAAAGCGACTTACAAATGATGACAATAGAAAGATAGTTTTTTGTATTAAAGAAAACAAAGTTAGTAAATAGAGTGCGAGTCTAAAAAGGGCAAGTTTTTTAAAAGTTTTTTTGATAAAGCATAGAATTAAAATAGAGTGCTAGAGTTAGAGGCTCAAATAAAGATGGACGAGGTGTGTTTTTAGCCGATTCTGGAAGATGGCTAAGGACTCAGCTGCTTATTTTGAATCTGTTTTTATTTTTATAATTTCAGTTTTTACTTTTAGTAATTTTGTTACGCGTTTTGGTAATTTGGTTATGTGTCTATATAGTTTTTATTCATTTTTATTTCAGTTTCAGTTATTTTAGTACATCAAGTTTTTCTTTCTTCATTCCAGAGGGAAAATACATACAATAACCAAGGCAGGCATAATTATTTCAATAAAACAAAAACATTAATGTTACTATGGTATTATTACCAGGCATGTATGCCATCAGTCCTGGAAACAAATTTCTCTAATTTTTACAGTTAGTAGTTTAAGCTTTTCATCTGATATATACACAGATATTTATATATTATATTTATATATATGTGTATATGTATGTATGTATCTGTGTGTGTGTGTGTCTGTGTCTGTCTGTCTGTGTCTGTCTGTGTGTGT